ACAGAAAATCGTTACTTTAATAAGACTTTATTATGATAAGATGATCTTTAAAAATCAGCCAATCACAATAAAAGCCCACTATGCTTTCTCCGACAGCATCTTGATGCCGTCAGAGAATGATGAGTTTAAGATGTACTAACTTTTTAATGAAATGTATTATTCATTTCATTTTACGATGACATCAAGATGCTATCGGAGGACGAACTTTTTAATAAATTGTATTATTTTGGCTTATGATGTAACGGCTTCGGACACAGGCAAACCTGCCCATTGTAAACCCTAATTTTTAGGTTATGAATTTATGAAGGAACCATCAATTTTTTTAAGTGTTTGCACGAATCAAAAATTGTTTTCTTTTTATTTATTTATTATTTATTTATTATTTATTTTTTTGAGTTGTTTTCTTGCCAACTTAGTAGAACAACGAAAAAATTAGAAGGAATTCTGATAAAGAGAACAAAAAAGAATAAAAACACCAAAAACAAAAAATACTTACAAAAAAAAGCGAATGTGATTGATTCTTGGTGAAATGTATTTGTAAAATTCAAGTTTTTTTTTAGCAATTTCTTTATATAAATTCAGCCTTATATTGTTGATTTCATAATTTTGTTTACTCTTTTAAAAGTCTAACTTCGAGATGTAAAATAAATCTCATCATAAATTTCGTCGAAAAGGTTTAATTCTAGGTGTTTGGGGCAACAGATAATAGAGGATTTTTCTGAAAATATATATGTTCTAAAGCAATTAAAATGGAATTGATATTTAAATAATGATCAAAGGTTAAACAGGGTCCAATCTCTACGTGCACTTATGTTCCATTTCTTTGCTTATATTCTGTACTAAATTTAAGAGCAGTATAAACTTTCGTGTTATCAGTAAATGATCTTGAAATAAGGATTATTTTAAAATTAAGCTGTATTATTTATTTGAATAAGGTATATGTACGAATTAAGAAAAGTTACAAATTATTTACATCATAAAGGTTCGTGCTATATCACTGTAGAATACGTAAACATCCCAAACCTATAAGCTCCCCATCAAGTGTTCTCTTTTTTTAGATTTTTATCACACAATTATAAGAAATTAAATATATCTTTTCACCAAAAACATTCATCATTGTGGTCTCCAAAAAAATGCTGGTTACTATATTCAATGCTCTCACGCGTGATTTTTATAGCAGTATCGTAATCACTAACTCCAAGATCTTCCATTATGAACCTAACACCCAATTTAGGAATGATAACCTCTTCTATGAATTTTAGGTTTCCATACTTTCATCAAATGTTCCAACATTATCGTATACTCTTTCATTCCATAATATCCAGGAACTAAATGATTGATTCGTTGTACTCTGGCGAACACATTATTGAGTTGCCATTTTGATAGAGATTTGAAATCATTGTAATATTTGTATTTTTCTTTATATTCACATATATCGGTGATGTGTTTGATAACCTTCTTGGTTTTGAGTCTTCTCACCAATCGTTTTAACTTGCCTCGTATTTCATTTTTACTGATTCTGAGTGAATGATCATTGTTAATGATATACATAAAATCATTATTATTATTATTTGCAGCCGTGGTAGACAGTTCGTCATCTGAATCAGTGATCGATATAACTTCTGGTATTCCCACGTAGTGATTGCCTTGGTTTATTTTTTTGAATAAAATTTCATCTTCTGATGGAAGGTCGTCATCTGAATCAGTGATCGATATAACTTCTTGTGTTCTCACATTGTGGTTTAATTTGTTGAATAAAATTTCATCTTCTGATGGAAGGTCGTCATCTGAATCAGTGATCGATATAACTTCTGGTTTACTCATGTAGTGATTGTCTTGTTTTAATTTTTTAAATAAAATTGCATTTTTTGATGGAAGTTCGTCATCGCAGTATTTTTCGTAGTTACGTTTAATGGTAGGCAACATGTTTAATTTTTATTTTGTTCAGGATTTCATGGTGTTTAAATAAATATAATGCGTAATACAAAATGTGAGTAAGGGCTGAAGGCGGATTACCAGACTCTGCTTCAAATGGAATGGGCGCAAGTTGCTTTGTGTTGATTATTCATTTTATAAATAATTTCCGAAACAGTACAACTTGAGCAAGAATAATTTTTCTAATCCAATAATCTTTCAATGTAGAATTTATTTTCACTATGTTATCTTACGCGTCATTAATTACTCTTCTTATATAAATTAGGAAATATATGGCTGTGCTTTGGTAAGTTATTTTAAGAGATAAGTATTCATTTAAACAACACGTATAATTGAATTTTATTGTATTACGCGTCATTTGCAAGAGAAATTTAATATTTATTATAAAAATCTATTTTTAGACTTCCTGGGTTTATAAATGACATTTTTTTTGTAAAAGATGTGTTTCATTATTTCATTATCACAACGAATTTTCCTTTTTATATAAATTTCGATATAACTTTAAATGAAAACTTATTTAAAATAAGAATTTATGTCTTATACGTCATTAATATCCGAATGGTTACTTTTGCTAAGCAATGTGCGTCACAAATATCTTAGTTTACATATATAAATTAAGTTATACTAACTTGGTCCAATGTTTTCAGGTACTTTAGCTCCATTTCTTTGTTTAATATCTTTACTTACTGTAAAAGACTTTCGCGTAATCGTTTAAATTATTTTAAAACAAGAACTTCTTGAGCATTTCCGAGTGGTTAACTATAACTTTTTCAATATAGATTTAATTTAGAATTTTATACATGAAGGATGAATATTGCTGAAACAAGGAATGGAATCTTACGTATTACTTTAAAGTCTATATATAGTCTTTTGACCAAACAGTTATTTTTACAGTTTTACAGTTTTACTATAGCTAAAAATGCCATTTCACGTAAACAATAGTTTGTTTCATTAGTCTAACAATTGGTTTCTCAGCATCTACTAATCAGACTTTAATGATTTTACTACCACTAGCATATATCCTATATGCATCAATATATTTAATAAAATACTTTATTTAATTACGTGTAAAAAATTTTTGCTTACAAAAATTTAAAACTTCCACAAATAGAATTCTAAATAAATAACTTTTCAAGTTAATAGA